CCGCCTATAAAATTTGGAATAGCTAGGACAATGAAAACTTCAGCCATAGAAATGTAAACTCCGCATGTGAATTATTGAGTCTACTGTTTACAAAATTGGAAAAGATAACCCAACACGATTGCCATACTAAGAGTAAGAGCCTCTTACATTCATGTAGTTCTTAAAGAAGTCATTACTGCATACAAATATCAGAAAGCTTCTCAAAGGAGTTACATGCACGCATTTTATTTTATTTTATTTTATTTAAAAGATTTTTTTTTAAGTAATTAATAAAAATTAAATTCTCAATCAATTAAATCCAAACTTTGAAATTTAACGATAAACTATTAAATCTATTCTGCTGATTCGAGTTGCATGCTTGCATTTGGCATACAAGCCAAAGAGAAATGGATACAAGCGTACATCCGAGCATGGCAGAGCATGTCTGGCCATTAAGGTTCCAAGCACTGATTATTTGCATGATGGTGCTATACAGATAATTTTTTCATTTCATTTTTTGATATAATTTTTATGTATCTGTTTCCCAAAAATCCTTAGCCAGCCTTTACCACGTGAGTTTAGTTATTAGGCGTGCCACTTGCTTTGTTTAAAAACAAAAAAACTGGATTTTCCAGACGACCCTTCTCCTTTCCAGCGATCGACCTCCAATAGGATGGCTGGAAAGAACGTCTATGAAATGAATTGCGCCCCAGACAATATTGCAAAACAGAGGGTAGAATTCTGCAAAATGGGTTACTAATTGCCTTAGAAACCTCCAAGGACTTCACAACCAAACAAGTGTAATAAAAGTTACAAATCCTAAAATAAATGCAATATCCTACGCAATTAAACTAACATGAAGTAAATAATAGAAAATAACATGCCATAAAGATTAAATTCGCAGATAATAGAAAAAGTAAAATAACAGACAATGATTTCAACTACGCAGCCCATAATGATTAAACTAATTATTAGCAGAATTAAAATAAAAATAACTAAACTACTTAATAACTAAAATTGAAGAAGAAACTATGAAATGATTAAAGTCTGGAAACTTATAAAATTAAATCTAGAAATTGAAATTAAGTGAACTAAATGTCTGGATATTCTGCAGAGACAAAAGAACAAAGGTAGAAAACATTCAACCTATTTACATGAATGAATAACATAACTAAATCTATAAAAGGAATAAGAACTAACCGAATCAAAAGGGTAGACCTGTTTTGAAGGTTAAGTTGCTTCCAAATGCTTCAAAATTAATCTAAATTGGAATTTGCGGAAGGAAATATGAACAAAGATGAACAAACCTAGGCTAAGGCTATGAACTAATCTAGAAAATTTGGAAACTATTGCTGAAAT